GGGCAGCTGAGAGGGGGCTTGAGGGGCAAAGGGGGGCTCGAGGGTGACAGCCAGAGCCTGAGGGCTGGGGGGCAGAGGGAGGGGTCAGGGGTGAAGGGAGAGGGTCTGAGGGCTGGACAGTCCAGTGGAGATCAGGGCTACAGGGTGCAGCTTAGGAGGCAAGTTAGGGTACAGGTGCGGCACCCCTCACCCCAACACTAACCTCACCCTAAGCAGCCTTTTCCCTTTTCACGCCCAACAACAGCAGCACAGCACAGCAAGCCTGACAGCGAGACCACACCGGAAGCCTCCCACTGGGACAGGGCAGCGACCCTTGCACCAGGACAACGCCAGAACCCTCAGAGGACAACAGGACCCACTGCTAAAAGGTAGGGATGACATCTGTGGGCTAGAGAGCAACAGGAAGGGGTTTGGAGGCTGAGCAGGCTTCCTTGAGTGTTTTTTTTGGTTTTTTTTTTTGCAGGGCTATTAGGAATATTTAGGGGAATTTTGAAGGCTTTCTCTGGTGTCTTTTAGAGAATTGTTATACCTTCCTAATGGCTATTTTAGAATTCTTTGGTGTATTTTTAGGGTAAGGATGAGGGTCTAACAGGATGCCCACTGAAAATGCAGAGTACTACTGGAATGCTTTGGGAAGGTGCCAGTGGAGGGCCAGTGAGTAAGGTGCCATGATGCTGGTCTGAAGGTTGTGATTTCTGAACAAAGCAAGGTGGTTGTGGTTAGGGTTATATGGTGGCAGATTTCTCGAGGAGAAATCCAGCAGAGAAAAAATCAAGCCCCAAGCTTTGTACTGTCAGTTTGCAACATGTATTTGGCATGAAAAAAAAAAAAACAAAACAAAAAAAACAAACCCCGAGTACTTGGGGATGGGAGATTTGGACTGGGAGAAATCCTGGGCCGTTTTGACATTAGGGAGGCAAAAGGAAACCTGGGACCAGACAACCCAGGGAGATTGCAGGGCCCTGTGAATAAATGAGGGATATCTACATGGTGAAAGCAAATTCAGCAGCCCAGGTTCCTGGCACCAGTTTGTAGGACTCCCTTGGGACTGTCAGGGAAGCACTAGTTTGTGGTGGAGACAACTTCGCTCTGGGGTACATCGGCAAAAACGCCTCTCTCCGTCAAGGTCCCCACGGGCCGCCATCGTGTCGCGGACCCTCTGGACAAGTGCTGCCGCCTTGTGGGCACAGGGCGGTACTGCAGCCCCCCAGCCGGAGCCCGGCCAAAGGGGCAGGAGGGGCGAGGGGTGGGAGTGAGCGGCGAGCGGGGCGGCGTCTGTGAGTGAGGGGAGGGCTGGAGGCGGCTCCGCGGGCCGAGGGCAGCCGGGGCCGGTGCCGGTGCCGGCGGGCGGCGGAGGCGCGGTCGCAGCGCTCCCGGGCCGCGGCCGAGCGGCATCGGAGCAGGGCTGCGCCGCCTTTCCCGGCCCCGCGCCCCTCTCCAGACGCCGGGAGCGGCCGCGTGCCAGAAAATGCCGCCGGGGCGGCGGAGCGGGGCCTTGGCTCTGCCCGCCCCTCCTGCCGCCCTCCCTGGAATGGTTCGAGGCATTATGGGTTTATTGAGGTAGGAATAATTTTTTTGTTGTTACTGATTTAAGGTTTGGGTTTTTTTTGTTTTGTGTTTTTTTTTTGTGTTTTTTTTTTTTGTTTGGTTTTATTTTTGGTTTTGTTTTGGTTTTTTTTTGGGGGGAACTAGAAAGATACTTTGTGTTCCTGGAACGTTGCATTCTACCTCTGTTGTTTTCCCAGTTAGTCTGGATCCTCTGCTTACATTTTTTTTTCACTTATTAGATGTCGTGGATATGCTGGCTGTTCTGATGGAGGGCAGTGGTGGCTTAGATGAGGAATTGGGTTCTCTTTAAACGAAGACGTGGTTATCCAAACAGTTCCTTGCAGTGCTGTTGTCCCTGCTGCATTAGCAGCCAGGAATATGCTGTTGCTTCAGTCTGAAAATGGAACAGGTACAGGGGGTTTTTTTTATGTTTTATGTGTCATTTCCAGCAGTGGAGTGAAAGTAGGAGAAGGAGAAGATTTTAACTAATTGCATTCATCCATACAGATGTCTTTTGTGGACCCATTTGGGCTAGTAGACTAAATCTGGCCTAAAAGATAGCACAGAGATTTTAACTGTTGAAAAACTCTGAGCAGGAAGTGTTCCCACAGTGCAAGAATCCTTTGAGTCAGGGTGCTTTAATACTGTAATTCATAAGTTGTCTAGAGGAGGAATAGAAGAAAGTTAAACTAAGCTACCTTTCAGGAAGATGAACTAAACCTCATTAGAAGTCCGTATGGACACTCATTCTGCAAATTAAAGGAGCAGGAAGGAAGGCAATTGATGGTGCTTCAATTCTCCATCAAAGGCTTAAGACTAATGTATCTTAACTAATGCATCTTCTCTTCTTAATTCAGTTAGTGTATTTTCATTTCCCTGAATGACTCCAGGTAGACAAAGGCACAAGGGAATAGTGGGTTTTGAATTGCCCGGGATACTACAGGTGGAGGTCTTCAGGAGGTGGCATGTGCTTTTTGGCTGTTGCCACAAACCATGGAGCTTTGAGCCATCCCAGGTGCCAGCAGCACCCTGAGCAGTGCTTACCAGCACCTGGCACTGGTAAACATTCCTGGCACAAAAGATTTTCTCTCCGTGGCCGAGCTGTGTCCGTGCAGGTAGCAGGGACAGCCACGCCATGGTCAGGGTTGCTGCTGCAGCGCGTCCCGTTCTGTCCTGGTAGGATTCACTGAGTGCTAGTCACAAGAAGAATGTCTAAAGTGATTTCTAAGAGAAAAGCTGCACGGGGTCAAACATGATCTTTCCTGTGGTTTTTGTAGCCAGGTCACCGTCGGTTCCCAGCACTGAACCAGGGCAGGGTGTGCCGTAGCTCGGCTCGTCCCTGAACGGGTGCCACCGTGCCTCTCCCTTCTTACTGCCCAAAGCTTTGTGTCCAGGCACAAGGGGAGTAGAGAAGCTTCCTGCCAGGAGATTGAGAGGCAGCCCGTGTGCTCATTCTTCTGCTCCATGAGCCTTTCCTGGCAGAGATGGGGCTGCACGGCGCTCCCTGCATTTGCAGCACTGGTACTTGCTGATAGCACAGCTTCTTCTCCCATCCTCTTGCTGGCTGCGAGGTCCTGTTACCTTCCCTCATGCTACCTTCTGGCTCTTTTCATCCCTAACTGAATTTAATTTTCCCTTGGGAGTGATCCCTGGGGTTCTGGTGATGGGCCGTTTCTCTCTGCATGCTATAGAATTTTATTGTTCTGGGAAGACTTAAGTTTCCGCTTAAGCTAACAGGGTGATCAAAAAAATGTATATAAAATGTCTTAGCTTTGGCCTTCTCTGCAGCAGGTGCACCGAGAAGGGAAAGAATTGTGAAAGGTATGGAGCTGCCTTCTCTGGCATACCACCAAGCCCCCATCCCCAGGCTTCTACTCTCCTGCTCTCTGGTTTCCAGTGCAGAATCAGCTGCCCATGGGTGCAGCGTGGTGACACTGCACTGGTGGCACAACTGCTCTGTGGTGTATTTCTTCCAGAAATAAAAAGGGCTAATTTCTTGTAATTTGCCAAAGAGAGGGGAATGATGGAATGAGTCTCTTGGAGGCATCTTTTCTCCTGTGGTGAGTAGTAGACACTGTTACTTGCCTTCTGTCAGTAATTTCACAGTCTTACCCTTCATTTTGTTGCAGATGCAGAAGAAACAGCTATGTAACAAGGTGCTATGTGACACGTGCTGTGAAATTCATTAACTTGCCACTACCTGATTATTGCAAGCAATGAAAAGGTAAAGAGATAATCGTGTTAATAGAGCAGGGCTCGGATCACATTATTTGATTTAAACCATTATCTGTTGTGAATCTTCTGTTACCAGTGAGCTACACGGCAGTGGCAGCAAAACTTGTGTAGCACACGGGTACGGTGATGTGCCAGATTGTGCCAGCTGTGTGGGCAGCTCTGCCCAGTGCCCCCAGTTATGGCTTTGGCATGATCTCCAAGTGGCTGGCCATGGCTGTGCTTTGGCTGAGAATGGCCATCCACCAAGAAGAGGGTGGAAGCTGTGGTAGGACAAGGCAGGTACCCAGAGAGGGAAGGTGCTCTTGAGAGTGGATCCAGAGGCTTCTGGTTTGAAGTCATTAGGCAGAGCCTTGTGCTTTGATGCTTGTCTGATCCAAATGCAAAGCAAAAAGCAAGGATACTTCCTCTGACAAGAGGAAGTATCATTTAGCCTGGCTGAAATCTGTCAGAAAAGTGCTTTGCAAAATGCAGTTGTACTTGGAGTGGCTGTTGCATAAAACAGATGAAATTTTGTTTGAGGAAGAGCTAAGAACTGTCAGCTGCTTGTGCTACTGGACACCAGATATCCCTAAGCCTCCTTCATTGCTAGACAAGAGTCTTCTTGCTGCATGGGCACTGCATAAACACAGTGAAGGCATGGTCTCTGCACTACAGATTGTGCAGCCTGATACATGAGAGTAGATGTATCTGGATGGACAAACGGGGAATGGCAAGAAACAAGGAGAGAAATATCACAAAAGTGATTTTATGACTGTTAAAATAATAATATATCGATGACCTGAGTGGTCAGAAGTCCCCTAGAGGCTTCCTTGTTGTCTTGTTGGTTGGTTGTCGGGCTCCAAGAAAAAAATACTTCCCTCATTCCTTGTTCAGTTGAAGAGAAGAAAGCCTTGGAACAAGCAGTGAGATATTTCTCTCGTTTCTCCTCTGAACACATGAGAACAGATGTCCAGGCAGTATGAAGTTGATGCAGGTCTGCTAAAGCCCTTGTGTATAAAGGTGGAATTGGGCAATAGTTGCCTTAAAAACTGTAGAATGTGTTTGTACATAGAGCCATGTTGATAATGTTTAAAACAGAAACAAGGAGAAGACTTGCTCCCTGGACATGGCTATGTGATAGTATGTGGGTTAAATTAAAGCACTATCCGGCACTGAGGGGAAAAAAAAGAAATTTGTTTCAGTAGTAGTCACACTGCCAAGAGATAGGTCGGGGCATCTGTTGGTTTCCGTTGCATGCAGCTGTCTATGGTTGTTGTAAGAATTCTGAACACTGTGAATTTTGCCGGAGTGTGGAGTTGCCATGTCCTTGTCAGGTGATGGATGAGGCAAAGTCAGCCCTTCAGAGCCACTGCTGATGGCTAATGCTAATCCACAGACTGTTTCTGTTTGGGGAGTGCACTGGCTATAAACTCACATTTTGTATGCTAGTATTTCTTTGCTTTCTCTACACATTGGGTTGCTGATAAAAAGGGTATTGTCTCTAGATCAAAGCAGTTACTTTCCGAGTATTTTGAATTAGCAAAGACTTTTTTATTGAAATGAAAATGTTATGTAGGAATGCGTTGCTTTCAGCTGTGTAATTTGTAATTAATTTTGGGAAGTACCCAAAGTTTTCTAGGCTTTTGCAACAAGCCAAGTGGGCTGCCTCCAGCCCAGGCTTCCAGGGTCCTGGATTCCTAAACTCATGTGTTCTGGGACTAATGGCAGCTCAGCCTCCTCAAGAGTAGCTGCAAAGTGTCAAGACAGACAGGTGATCTGCTGCTCTCTGGCTCACAGGGATGGATACTGGTGATGAAAATGGTGTTGCTACCAGAAATAGTAAAACTTAAAGAAATCCAGAAGGCACAGCTGATGCTGATATGTCTGCTCAGTCTATTCGAGTGTATTTCAGAAAAGGAGAAAATTCTTGGAGTAGATTCAGTCACCTTGGAAGGGTGCAGCACCTTGGAGGATGCTCATTAATGATTTCAAAGGGAAGTGTCACTGAAAGGCAATGTCAGAAATCCTCACAAGTGGGTAACAGCAGTCAGGTTAATGTTTGTGGCTCTTCAAAAGCTTTACTTGGATGTCTCTTCAAAACAGTCTGGATGCACTGAGGGAGGGCTGTGCCTTCCTTTTTTCTTTTTGAGTAGCTGCCTGAAGATAAATATAAGATGGACTTTCTTAAAAAATAAATGAGAAAACACCCAAGGCTGGGTAAAAGTCATGAATACTCAGACTTAAAAGTCATCAATTCCCCAGCAATGTTAGATGAGCCTAAAGTGTATAGGTCAGCAACAACTTCAGCAGGCAGCCTAAAAAACACAAGAA